CTCAATGATACAATTATGCCGAGGTTCATAGAAAGCCGTACATGGAACCTAGTATTAGTGAAGTATTGGCTTCGAACTAATGCTGTTGAACATTAGAGGTTCAGTATGGGTGAACATATGGTGTTCCAGTCACTGCTGAGAAGCCCTTGCGTAAGGTAAATATGGTGGGACACGAAACCATGGCTCGGCTTAAAACCTGTCCAGAAACCTGTCCTAAAACCATTTTGAAGCCTGTGTTGAAGTTGTTTTCTATGGAGCCTTCAGTGCTGATTTTCATCGTCATTCAATGGGAATCGCCGTAAAGCAATATGCTCCCATTCATTCCAGGATAGCTTTTTCCTTTCTCAACACTCACTATGACCAACAGGTCAACCCACTCGTTTTGCAGCTGATAGTCACAACCATACGAGACATCATAATTTGTCGTCAATAGACTAATTTGAAAGCTCACTATCTCTCTCACTTTACCTCAACATGCATAGTTGGTAAACGTTCATAATGAAACAGAACTCGCTTTCCATGCACGCAGGTGTGCGGCTCCTTTTGGCACTCGCACGACGGAAGGTTATGGAATCCTCTACCTACACCACAGGATTGTAGTTCATGGGCGTAATCGCAGCGTCAGACGCTACCCTCCCTTTGAGAATTCTATAGCTCCAAAAAAGTAAGAACTTCTTTCGCGATTTTATGGGTCCGTTCATACGATTTTATGAGTACGTCGTCATCAATTTCATCAGATGAGCAGAGAAGACTATTGTTATTGTCTTGCATGGAACCGTCTTCCTCGCAGTCGATAACGAATTTGTTGTACATGTGGAAAATATGAACGGAAAGCTCTTTATTGCCTTCAGATCGTTCCTGGGTGGTGTAAATATTATATCGCAGTAACCAAAGTCCTCCAACAACACGATAACACTACCTCTGGGCAGAACATTCCGCTTGTGATATGTTATAGAGCGTTTTCATTCGAAAAAGGTGCATTTCGAGCAGTTGTTTGGAATTCCTCTTTGCTTGAGCTGTACGCTCATTCGATCAGTGAAGAGCAAGGAAAGCCTCTTTTAGATTATATTTCAGCAGTTCTAAAATGTGTGGGACTTCCGTAGATAGTCATATGAGGCACAAGAACGTATTACAAGCGTTTAGGACACGATTTGTGGGGAGACAAAGCAGCACATGTATCAGTGAATCGAAGCCTGCAAGTCCACTTCGTTCCAACTGCTCCACCCTTACGCAGTTCATCGGTCTGCCCGGTTCAGTTATAGGCTCAATACAGTGGTATGAAAAGAGGGGAGGGAGAGGTAAGCAGTTCTATAACTTTGTTCCTAGAATCGTTTCGCAGATTTGGAGTGCAGATTCGACATCAACGTTCGAAAATGCCTAGGGGGGTATACATCTCACTTCGGATGGTTAACAGTGATGACAGTTTCCCTACAGCCAGCCTATTTTTCAGACCGAACTATAGTAAGCCGGGACATTCACACAATACACAGTTTTGCAAAGTTGACCAATTCGTACACTAAGACGCTTGCTGCATTTGCTTGGAAGACGAACATTTTTTGCGGGATTCAGTTTTTGATTAAATGAATAAGGGATACCTGGTTTTCCACCGCAACTGGTAAACGTTGCCGTCAATTTCGTAACTACTGCAACTAAGTTCTTCGTTTTCGCATTCAATTTCGTAGATTTTGCAGTCTGTGTGCGGGTCGGTGGTGTGTTTGGCCTTATATTCATAACTCCTGTTCCCGTGGGCCCAGAGCTTCAAATTTGAAGGGAGTACAGGCGGCAGGATAGAACCACTCATGGTAAATGGCAGGAGTGGACTCTGCTCCAAGATGCGGCGCGTATCCGAATGAAATGTTTGACAGTAAATTCATAACTCCTGTTACCGTGTGCCACGTGTGTTCAAACTTGGTTATAGTAGAGGCGGCAGGATGGGAGCTCCAATAGTATGCGATATAAAGTGATAACAGTTGGTGGGAGCTGATGAGGAGTCATAGTAGGCAAGAGGCTCAAGATCCGTTACCTCCGTGTTAACGGTGAAACAGCTTAGTAAGGGTGTGGGTTAAGAAGAGACCGTGGATGTTTCGGTGATAGGAATTGATAACAACTGAAGGGACTGACAACGAACCATAGAATGCGAGGACCTCTGGATTTATAACGCCCTTCGTATTAGCAGTGGAGGTTTGGCACGTAGGTGGGATGTGAAGGAACGTAGGTGATTGCAGTCTAAGTCTGATAACAAGGGAAAAGGGCTGGCAAAGAGTAATGGAAAGCTAGAGCCACTAAGTCTGTAACGCCCTTCGCGTTAACAGTGGGACCTTATCATCCCATAGGTAATGTAACATGTGACCAGGTCAAAGGTACTCTGTGACGGGAACTGATGGCAACTGAGAAAATCTGATAAAGAGCCTTACAATTAGAGAGCAAGAGCCACCTACCAGTTATATCCTGTCGGCAACACATTAATTTTGAAAATTATTCTATGAAAAAACTTAGGTTTTTACGAACTAGCTTTGACTCTGGTATGTTTCATTCGATAAGAAGACGGAGTGCAGCGGTTAGGACGGATTGAAGGCATCCATTGTGAGTAGACAAATTTGGTTCATTTCCTGCTATTATTGTAGATTACGACCGCTGCCCAGCTACGTTTGTGACTCGACGAAGGATCACGGTTTCCCTTCGATTCGACATCATGTGCGACAAAACTTATCCGATGGCACGTTAACTGGGATTCTCAACTAGTGATATATCCTTGGCGAAAAGAAGTATCATTGATAACGACATCTATTAATCGTGTTATCAATGAAAGTTCTTTTCACTGATAACTTTATTTTCAATGAAAAGAAGTTTCACTGATAACAGTGTTTTGTTTTGTTTTGTAGCTTCTCACCTTCACAGTCCATTTCCACAATTGCCATGCGGAAAGTTATAAGCAGTATTCGGGAACTTCAAAATAGACTTTGTTATAGAGCTACGTGCGACAACGGCTCCTTGGTGGCAGAACAAGTAAGAAATGTGCTCAACATTCTCTTCCCAGCCACGTTTTTCGAACGACAGGAACCACATATTGATGCTGATGCCAATTTCCGGATTTTTGGCAACTGGATTTTCAAGGTAGGTTCTGAAGGCAAAACACTACATCTCACACTTCACGGGAGCAAGCACGTGGTATTAGGGAGCTTCAAGACTCGATATAGCCTCGAGCTTTACGGCCATCTGTCAGTGACAAGGGAGGAGAGTTGGTAGTGGTTTGTGCGTTATGGAATCCATTGACGCAGAAGCTCTTTACACGATTGTCAGCAATGAGTCTGCTATGGATGCCGTGTTCTACCTTTTTGATCAGCACGAGAACGATATTAGTGTGGAGGGCTGTCTATATCTTACCTGATGACTCTTGTGAAGGATGCCTCAGCTGCAGGATTTTCAAGTGGTCGGAAAGGTATTCCACACTGACTAGAGGCTTGGCTATAAGACGGCGATTGACGCTTTTACTGCATGTATATCGGTGATTTCTACATAGCCTATGTGACACAGGAAGAGGTAGATGTGTGTTTCGGCCTACTAAACTTGCAATCAGAGCACAACAAGTCAACACGGGAAAAACGGACCGGAAATTGGCTCCCTTTCCTGAACGCCGAAGTGAGGTTAAGGGAGATATGATTGTTACGAAGTGGTACAAAAAGCCCAGCAATAAGAACATCATTGTCCATTATCATTCAGCTCACCCTTTTTATATAAAACGCGCGTCTGTTGGAAATACATTCCGCGATATTGTGCACTGGGAAGGACGAGCGGAAAAGAGTCGCTTAAAATGGCGCGCGGTATAGCTTGGTCGAATGGCCACTACATTTTTTCAACTACACATAGAGTTCAGACAGACGTCAGACGCTCAAACATGGTAGTACCTCGCTTGGAGGAACGATTCCCTTTGTGCTACCACTCATTTCTGACGAGGTCAGTGCCATAAAGCGTCTAAAGAGGTCAGGTTTAGAAAATGTAGTTGCCATTGTAAGTGGTTACACCCTTCAATCTGAGAAAGCACCTGGTTCAAAACAGGCTATGCGATCGCCTATGTACAACCTCAAACTGTGCGGTCTGTCCAGCTGGAAGGAATGGTGATTGTAGCGTCGCGGGGGTGGTCTGCAAAATCACCTGCCGTAATTGTGGCGATGAGTATATTGGCGAAAGGAGCAGGAGGATAAGGGCACATAGAGGGGATGAGGATATTGAAAGAGTCTACCGCTCTAGGGATTACCCGGATTCAAAAACATAACAGAGGCACTTTGGAAGTCACCATGGAGGTCGCGGCACAAAAATCGCAACTGTATAAAACCTTCGAGGCATCCTAGATACAGATCACCAATCCAAAAATGAATCGTAGGGAAGAATGCCCGCAATCACGCGGGAGCTACGGCCCTATATAAGATTGGCCTTCCCGGAGAGGCTTCGAATGGGAACATGCCCCAGCTGACGCTCGTCAGTTGGTACCACATCTCGCCGGGTGGTTTCGAAGAATCTACAAAGCTACAAAGAATGGTCTCCTTTCAGTCACCTGCGTGTCCTGGGGGTCTCGAACTTCAGCGGGGTTAGTGGAAACGTTCGATCGGATAATGACAGATCGTCATGATCCTTTCTGGCTGTGTAGAAGACAGTTTGAAGCACTCAGCCTAATGGAGCTTTTTGCTTTCTTAAGAAATTCATAAAAAGATCAAGAAAACAACAAACTCTGATGATGGTGTTATTATCACTCGCCAACGTTTGTAAGCACCAATCTTAGGCTCTTGTTGTTCAACAGTTGGATTTTGTTGCTCAACAGTTGGATCTTCAATGGATGACTATTTCTGAGGGATCAGATCAGAGATAGAGCAATATATCGAGACTTCTAATCATGGGCATGACATTGGCTTATACCAGATACTTTTTGGTTTGCCCTGTTGGTCCTGTGCCGAGTATCGTGTTCAGAAACGTAGCATTTGATCCAAGGAGAAAGTGGTCAGTTAGTCCATTATTACAACTCTGTTATAAGAAGGAGGAAAGCCCGGCGTTGGCAAGTCGATCCTGCTGGTTTTGTGAATGTTGCACTCAATTCCGTTTTTTTCTACATTCCCAAATTTCAACAACCTCATTAGAGAGTGAATTTCATGGAATGTTTAGACTAAAGTACAATTACTAACTGTACTATTATTCACTGACCGCTTTTGGGCTCAAGCGAAGCGTGATGTAGTCCACCATGTTACTGAAGAATGCTCTGCCATCATCGCTGGTATGTTCCAGCAAACGTTATTCGTTCTGTGGTTTCAAGCGTCGCGTAGTTCCTTTCGTTTTGATTTCCCTGATAGGTTTCGAAAACAGCGAGTTCTTATTTATTTATTTATCTATAACAGTTTGTTATTTAATCACCTATGGCTGCAATGACACCACAGATAATAGTGCTGGTATCGTATATCCGAGTGAAATCAAATTGGCAATAGTTTGAATATATATCCTCTCTCTATATATAGCGCTAATTTTGTGTGTCCGTTTGTATGCCCGTTTGTGTGTCCTCTCGAAAGTCACCTAGGCACGGTCAAGAGCGTGAAGATCACAAGAGCGCGGTGAGAAAACAGGTATGAAATGGGAAAACAACCGATGCTCTTTATATTGATCCGTTGATCAATATCCAGTCTATTTATGATGTCACAGACTGAAAATCAGATCCCGCCTCAGGACCATCAAACTCTTAGGAACCCGAGAAAGTCAGAATGGAAACAATTCCACAACCACCTATTAGTGTCAAGAGATCAATACACACAAAGCGGCATCAGATCGTTCAAATTGGGGAATATCACCTAATGGGGTAACGGTAGGAAAAGGGAAGTCAGCCGATACTGTTTATATTGGTCCTCTAACAAGTAGGTAAGCAGTATTGGAAATGGCATGGTGCACACGTAAGTGTGCATAGCCCAACTGTTTAGATATATATATTGTATAGGTGCATATATGTATGTACGTACAAAGAAGGGACTTAAGAAGTATTCAATACAAGAGAGCTTTTTATATAGATAGATACAGCGAACCGAATATAAATATAAATAAATAATAACAAACTAATATAGCTAATATCATATATAATATAGCAGTCGGTTCGCCCGGCTACGCCGGGCTCTCTCCTTTGACAAAGTTGTAGTACTCAGCTAACCCTCCACTCCTTGAAAACAAGTATTATTTACCTGTACACGAACTTTGACACCTTTTGCTCTCTTTCTCAGAAATGAATACCCAACGAAAATTCAACTGTGCACTGGGCAACCAAGCCTTGAGCGGTACACACAAAGGTTTTGAGTGAATACTGTTATCGGATGCCATCACCAATAAATCCTTTTCTTTTAGTTAGATATCATTGGTTGAGAATTCCAGATTACTGGCTGTCGGCTAGGTTTTGTCACACATAATATCGATTAAAGAGGGTCTCTCGTCGAGTAAGATACCTTGCTGGGTAGCGCTCGTAATCTAGCAGCAAGAAATGAACGAAATTCTCAACTGCTTATCGCAGCGCCGCTAATGTGTGCCTGTCACTGCAATTACCGCTCACTTTTATCACCCTACTCTACCATTTTGTCTTATCGAATGGAAAATACTGAACAGTCAAAGCTACATCGTAAATACCGAGGGGTTTTGATTTTGATCGGTAGGTGGCTCTCTCTTCTTAAGCCCTTTATCTTCCATTACCAGTTATTATCGGTTCCTCTAATCGAAACCCTGCGATTCCGTCATATCCTATACCAGTGTTGAAATGCCGATGTTCCACTGTTAGTAAGAAGGGCTATAGTACCATCAAATTTGAACGCTCTAGGCCCACGGGAACAGGAGTTATGCATTTATGGTCGAAGATTTCAATCGCACACGCCCCATCCTGTGTGGGCGGGGTCCGATCTACCGCCAAACAGAAGTTTTCCCATCCAGCTGCCTGTACTCCTACCAAATTTGAACGTTCTAGGTCCTCTCAAACAGGAGTTGTGAATTCGCGGGTCAAAAAATTCTATCACGCACGCCTCGCTCTCGCCGCAACAAGTCCCGCCCCGCCCCCTGTGGGCATAGTCTGCCCAGCTGCCTGCCGTAAATGTTTTCATCCTACCCCTTGCCGTTCCTGTTTCATTCTTTCAGCAGCTGGTTCCATGTGTGCTCATCACTTTTCTTCTCATTCCTCTTCATTTCGCACTCGAGCTCTCTGTGAGTCTGCAAACTGTCGTACTCTTCACTGTTCTTCTCCTTCCTTTTCCCATCGCACTCATGCTTTCTGACAGTCTGCAAACAATCATACTCTGTACTTCTCCTTCCTTTTCCGTTCGCAATCTGGCTCTCGGTGAGTCTGCAAACCATCGCACTCTTCGCTGTTCTTCTCCTTCCTGTTCCTTTC